GGTTTTTGGCTTGCTCGGCATAATGATTCATTGACGCTTGTAATGTTATTTTTCAGTTGTGTGCCTGTGGCATTTAAAGTAAAAAGGACAAAAATAAGTTTGAGGGGGAAAAAAACCCATTTTAATTGCTTTCAAATGTTCCAATAAAACTCAAACCCATACACTCTTGCTCAAGAATTTCCTTGCCAGATCATTACATAGTTGCTTGCCAAATCTCTCTAGCTTTTCTCCTATTTTCTGATTCTTAGGAACTACAGACAAGATTAATATACGTAAATATTTGCAAAAGGCTTTTAAACATTCCAGTGTCGTAGGAAAGAATTTTGAAAAATCAGAGCTCCACGCTTAAAAACAACTAAAAGTTTATGACTCAGAAAATAGCAAAATAATCTTAAGCTCCCAAGAAGAAAGTTAGGTGTTTGGGGTTTTTTTTTTTACACTTATGTTTAAAGAACCATTTTGTTATCTTCAACTGTTGTCCCTACTGAGAACATCCCAATAAACTGTCGGTCTCTGTGACTAAGGAAATACTCCAGTTTATGATCTACCGATAGGAGAACTATCAGCAAGGCCAGGAGGCTTCGTAGGTTACTATCTAACAGCCCGTGGCACTGGCACCGGCCCAGCAAAATGATGATGGAGCAGTGGTTGTGCCCAGACCATGACGAGTGTACAAAGATGATTTCAGTCCACGGAACAACAGCAGGTGGGCACCGTGCACACTGGATTCTATGCAGACAGAATAGAATAGAACAGAATAGAATGCGCTGTGGATGGTGGGTGTCCTGTGTTCAAAACAGAGGCTTTGAAATTGTGACAGCGTAAAATTCCAGAGTTTCCTTGATAGGATTTTCAATGTTTCGCCACACACTTGAAAAGTATGAAAGAGAGAAATTTTTAACAACTTGGAAAAGTAAAGAGAAGGGCAGACATTTTGTTTCTTAATACATGTATAGAAATGGAAGGAAAAAATACTTTAGGGTGAATTCAAATATCATCTTTTTTTGCCCTGGCTGGTGTGGCTCAGTGGACTGAGTGTTCACTTGCAAACCAAAGGGTCACCAGTTCGATTCCCAGTCACGGTCCATGCCTGGGTGGCGGGCCAGGTCCCTAGTGGGGGGACAACCATATGGTGTGTGAGGGGCAACCATATAATGCTTCTCTCCCTCTCTTTCTCCCTCCCTTTTCCTCTGTCTAAAAATAAATATGTAAAATCTCTAAAAAACTCCCCAAATATCATCTTTTTGTCACAAACAAAACACATATCACTTAGATATGACCCCCCCAAATATTCATATGAATGATTTTATTTCAATCTTTCTTTAATGGCAAAAGAAAGCTCAGCTTCTTGTGTTTGGGATCATACCTCACAGTACACTGGCTTTATATTATTTTCAACAAAAAAAAAGAATCTATGACGTGGGCATGTCTCTATAAAGGCAACGTGAGAGTCACGGGGCACCCTTCTTGTGCCCCCATAGTATCTTCTGATCTAAGGAGGGAGTGGGGAAATGGATTCAGGGGTAGCCTCGAATTGTTGCTCCTACGTGACCCAAGAACATGAAAAGGCCAAGGTCTATTTAACTTTTTAAGCTGTGTCGTTGGCTCTGGACTCAACTTGATATAATTGTTATTTACAGTCAATGAATTTTTCAGAGAAAGACAATTACCATAACGTGGAATCTAATGAACAAGCAAAATAGAGACAGACGATAGACAGAGAGCAGGCAGACAGCTGCGGGGGGTGGGGGCCTCTGGGAGAGTGGAATGACGGAACAAAAGAAAACACGAAGAACTCCTGACGGGGTGGGGGAGGTGGAAGAGGGATAAATGGTGTATGTATTTGGTAAAAAAATAATAGAAATCATGGTTAAAAAAAGTAAATGAATTTTAAAACACATCTTTCATCATAATTGTCATTTGGTGTTAGAAGTAATTCATGGTCCTGGCTGGGTAGCTCAGTTGGGTAGAAGATTGTTCTGACACATTAAGGCCGGAGGTCAGGGCGTATGTAAGAATCAACCAATGAGTGCGTAAATAAGTGGAATACAAATAGATGGGGGTTTTCTCGCTCCTTTCCTTTCTCTTTAAAATCAATACATTTAAACAAAATAGCTGCTTTTTCTTTTCTTTTTTTTTTTAAAGAAATAGTTCATTACTCTTGAGGGTCAGAAGGGAGAGGCTTTCATTCTTAGGAAATCCAGTCAAGGGGTGGTCCCCCCCCCCCAACAGCGTTAGGCATTCTCAAATGCCAGGAGATGACGTTGGAAGAAATAAAACTCCTAAGTAGACCTTCTTTGCTGCTTCTGAGGTACCTAAGAAGTCAGGTTTGCCACTAAGGCGAACATGCCTGCTTCTGCTGCAGTTTAACACTGCCAGCTTTTCTTATCTCTCGTCTTGTTTACTGTTGAGGTACTTAATTAAAACCCAAATATACACCTATTTAGTAGTCAAAGAGGGGCAGAGTTTTTTGAAAAGACATAGTTTCAGGAAGAAAACACTAAAAGGAAAAAAATGGAATAATCCACGGTAGCACAAACTGGGGATCCCTCAAAGTGCGAACATAATGTTGTCCGAAGAGTTTTTTAAAAGTGTCTGTCAAATCTGCCCATCACCTGCTGAGCGTGAAGCACATTCCCCCCCCCACTCCCCCCCACAAGGAGTTTTTCCTCTTTTTTTTTTTTTTGCTCAATCGCTACCTCGCATTTCTTTAAAACCTCAAAGTTCAAACGAAACAATTGTTAATAAGGGTTACATCCAATATTTACATGCAGAATGTTTCCTGAGAATGTGACATATCAGTGAAGGTTGCAATCTTGTCAAAGATGATCAAAGATATCACACTGGAAAATTGTAATCTCATTTGGAAATCTTCCTCTCGCTCTGGCATCCTGGATGAGTTCTGCCAGAGCACTTGAGTACAAATCAGGAACTTAATTTAAGTAATTCATACTAAAAAAGAAACTTCTGGCCCGGCACGTTCCTTTGAATCTTTTGACTATTAATAATGAAGAGAAGAACTGTTGTGTGTTTTCAACTTGGTGAAACATTCATCCATTCTGCTCCCAACTGTGATCTCATTATACACAGGGCGACCATGAAGTCCAGAAATGAGAATATGCATAAGGTCATCACAACATCTGCAATCTGCAGAAGTTGGACTACAGTGGAATAGGGGATAACAGAATAAAACAGGATGAGACAAAGCCCAAGGAAAGTGGTTTAATAAAATAAAGTCGATGGAATAACACCATGAGGATTTCCAGACTTAATAGAAATCCTCTCTGTGAACCCGTGGAGTGTTTTGGGCCAACTGAGTATCTGGGTGAAATGGGAAACTCCACTGCAGGAAGTGCTGCTGCTGCTAATTAAGGAATGTGGAACCCTTCCTTCTGAGTCAGCTGGGCGGTATGTGGAACTCTGTGCTGCTTACATGATGATTGCATGAAACTTGATAAAGAAAACCAGAGTATCTGGCTACTTAACATTTAGGAGGCAAGTCGTGGTGTGTGTGTGTGTGTGTTTAAATGGTTCCTAATCTTTAAAATGGCTCCCTGCAGCTGGCCCTTTTTTTTTTTTTTTATCAGCTGATTATATTTACAGCATCATCTCCTGGGATGGCTTGGTGCTCTCCCATAGACAGGATATGGACCATTTACGAGTTCACGTTTTCGGGTACACCGCCTTATCACGGCGTTCTGAGGCTTCACTACTATTACACAGCAATAAAAACATCTCTGGGGGACTGTCGAGTCTTAGTTCTAATTTCTCTTTGGAAAGAATCAATGTTTTTTTTTTTTTTTTAATTTCAAATGTAATGCAGGCATATTATAGAAAATAATTCAAGGAAAACAGGAGGTAGGAAAAGGTGGTGTAGCTCTCATGATCAAAAACCTAGTTTAAAAAATTTTATATGTGGCCACCAGTCATATATGGTTATTTAAAAATATATATATATATAAATTTTGAAATGTACATGAAGCAGAGAGAATAATAAAATGAACTGTTTATCTCCATACCCAGTTTTTCAGTTTCAAGGTGCTAGGCTTGTTTGCTTCAGTTCTTCCCTTTTTAAATTTGCTAACGCATTACAAATTGCAAGGTATCATGTCATTCTCCTCCTAGACGCTTCAGTATATGTCTCTAAAATATACATATACATTTTTTCTAATAACTCACAATACCATTAGCACAGCTAATGAATTAACAATGAGTCCTCCATATCACATAAGACATTGTCCATTCTAAAATTTCCCTGATAAGAAAAGCAATTTAAAATTTTTATGTATACCTATAGCCTCTCTTCTTGTTTACTAATATGAAAATTTATAGTTTGTTAAAAATATGATTTTGCATTTTGATTCTTTTTCAGTTTGCTATTATAACTATTTCCCCATGGCATGTTTTCCAAAACTTCATAGTTTGAAATGGCTGAGTGCAAGGGGGCTGGGGGGTGGGTAGCCAGGTGATTAATCATTCCTCTGTTTGTCTGTTTCTACATCTACCTCTAGAGAGCTTTTGTGTGTTTTTCTTCCTCTCATAGTAAACTTGTTGCCATGAATATCTTTGTTCATAACACCTTCTCCTAGATTAGGGCTATTTCCTTAGGACTCATTCCAGGATTCTTATTGCTGCGCCCAAATGCATGAACATGGCAAGGCCCTTGACTTGTCTCCCTGAGTTGTTTACAAAAGGACTGTACCAATTTACACTTCCACTTACAAAGGATGAGAGGAGCCTCTCTCCTAAAGTGTTTAAGGGCTGTGCTTTTCAGAGCTCTTATAAAATCATTGGCTAGGGCTGGCTTATGTTTGTTTTATAGTCATAGCCATCTCCAAATAAATAAATACACATTTCTATAGCTCTGAAAACGTGGCATGCGCAGACTGCCAAACAACCACTAACTAACTTTGATTAGAAGAGAAACCGGTCTATTTGAAAATGTGGTAATGAGATAGTTTCCACCCCCCGGGAAGCCCAGTCCTGGAGGGGGAGGGGAGCCTGCGTTGCTTCTAGTCTCTCTTCCCATCCTGAAGAAGGTAGAAATGAGCAGGTCAGCGCGTTCTCTTCGTTTACTTTCCGATTTTTTTTAAAAAGCGGGGTATGTTATTTGTTTCCATGTGGCCGAGTTGAGGATGCAGAAATACGGGTTGAAAGCTAGCAGCAAACTTCTGGTGGCAGGCGTTTCCTGTAAACGCAGCCCCACCGTAGTGGGTAACAGAGGATTAAGGCAGAGAGCCATTTTAGCTTCGCCTCCAAATTCTACTTTGTTTCCTTGGGGACACGTTGTTCTTATTTGTTGCCTTCAAATAAAATCGCCTCAGAAACTGTTTATTTCGGTGCATACCTTTCTTATGTGCTGTAAAGAATATAGCATATCAGTTACAAATCCTTGTAGAAAATGCAGTTGTATTGGTTTGGAGAAATTTATGTGACAGATTTTTTTTTTTTTTTAAAGGCAGGGAGAAAAAAAAACTATCTCATTACTGTTTAGGGCGGAGGGAAAAAAAGGAGGAACTTGATAAGAAACTATTTAGCAAGATGGTCTTTAAAAGCCCAACATGTGAATCTTTATGAATCTTTATTTTCTTTCTTATTTTTTTTTTTAAGTTAAGATGGTCCTATTATCTTCCTTTACTCTTCACTGTTTTCACCCCACTCAGAAACAGTGGAGTCGTTCCTCAAAGCAAGTGGGGACAAAACACGATCTCTTAAAATATTTTTAAGGGGACACACAGGCTTGGTATTTGTAAAAAAAAAAAAATCAACAAAATGTGTTAACCACATTTTAAAAAAAGTTGTGAAAGCAGCCAGAGGGACCTAGCAAGGTGAGGGCTGTTTTGGAATAGGAGGATATCCAGGGAGAATAATGGCTAATGTCATTTTGGCTGTCATTTATTGAGTGATCACTATGGGCTGGGCAGTTTAAGATTTCATCACAGTTTTCTTATTTAATGCTCAAAAGTGCCCTATGTGCTGGGCGACGGTGTTCTCCCCATTTTACAGGTGAGGCCCAGAGTCACTGGGCTGAGGCATTGGGTCACTGGGCTGACGTCTCCCAGCCGCCGAGCTGTAGAGTCAGCATTTGGGTTCGGACAGCCTCGGAAGGTTGTGCTTGACTTAGTTCTGCTTTCTGGGAAAAATTGCTCGTGTTGGGAGCTGCTGGGCAAAAAAAAAGCCCATCTGCTGCCACTAGAGCAGTGAGGTAGGGTCGCTTTGAGTCACCTATCGAAATTTAGGGCAGCTGTCTATGCGCTTGGGTCCAGACTCCTAATTTCTTGGCCACCTTACGTACGTTAGGGGCGTGGCTCTGACTTTAATCTCTTCTCCAGGATTTTCCCCAAATCCCAGTATCCTCTTGGAGGGCGTGGCCGGAGGAGGCACACTATATAAACCGGAGACCAGAGCGCATTCGTTCCAGTCTTCCTTGGCGCCACTCGCGTTTACCTCCTTCCGCGGTCGCTCAGGTCTTCCTTGGAGAAGCTACCCAAGGGACACCGAAGGGCAAGCCGTCGCCCAGCTTCCTGAGTGGCACTCAGATCCAGGTATGTGGCAGGTTTTCTCCACACTTGGTCTAGTTCGCTGATTTTCAAATTCCCGTGCCTTTCGTCTTAGCGAAGATGGAGAGTTAGGTTCTGGAGCGGACAAATCTCAGTCTAAGTCCCGTTGTTTCCCTTGCTTGTTGCAAACATACTCGCTTCTCTTTCCCAGTCCAGGAGTAACTACCCTGGCTGGGCCCTGGGGTGGTTAAGAGTAGACCTGGCTGAGCCAGCCTGAGAGCTTCTGCGCCGGGGGCAATGGTGGTTGGTTACAGTGAGAGCGTGTCTGGACTGCTTTGCTATGTCCCAAATTCTCCTTGAGCATTTTACAAGTGAGGACTTATTTATCCCATCCAAATGCACCTGTCAGTGAATACTCTTACCTCCATCTGTAACATGGGGAAACAGAGGCAAAGGGAGATGAAGTCAAGGGACAGGCAGGATGTCTGGAAGCTCGGCGTCTTGGTTGAAGCCAGAAAGCCGGATCTAAGAGCTCAATAGTCGTAACCCCGCTCAGGCATCGCTTTCTAATGTGGGCGATGGTTTGGACTCTGCCTGGATATCCAAAATGGTGCGGGTAATGTACTTGGCTTATAAAGAAGTACTTAGTCAATGATTGCTATTCTTCTTCTCAATTCTCCGAAGGCCAAGGTCAACCACTTAGTCCAAACAAAATGGCGTGAGTCAGCATGGGCTGTTAGATCAGGCTAGAATTTCCACTCTATTCTTGTTGTGGAACCTCCAGGAAGGTACTAAAAAAGTTCAAGTCAGAAGGCGAGTCAACCTCTAATGGGTACAGTTTCCTCATCTGCCCAGTGAATTAAACAAATCCAGGTCATTAGGAGAACTAAATAACACCATGATTGGATCAATTGCACATGAAGAATGCCACATAGGCATAGGAGGGGCTCAAAAATTGTGTCCTTTCCCCCTTTTCTTATCCTTCTCTCGTCTTACTCTTACCGTTGTTGTAAAAGTGACCTGAAAACACGAACACACTGACATACCTAAATGCTTTCAGCCGGGCGGCCATCTGCATTATCTCTTCAGGCGTCTCCAGTGCTTATCAGTCTGTTTGATAAGCCTCTTAATATTCAAGCCAGGTCCATTATTCCTCTGCTCATACCATTCTGTGACTCTCCCAGGTTCATTCAGAGTAAAATCTGATTTTTCCCTTTGTTTTTTATCATTTTCATTGACTTTATTGGTGTGACATTGGTCAATGATTATATAGGTTTCATGTGTACAATTCTATAATGTATCACCTGTATGTTGTAATGTGTGTTCACTACCCCAAGGTCAGTCTCCTTCATCACCATTTATCCTGTTTACCCTGTTCTACACCCCCCGTTTAAAATTAAAATTTGGTCTTTATAGTGACCAAGGGCCCCATCTTAATTTTTAAAAAATTTTTAAATTTTTTAAAAGTATTTTATTAATTTATTTTTAGAGATAGAAGAAAGCAGGGAGAAAGGGAGAGAAACTTCATTGTGTGGTTGCCTGTCATGTGACCTCCACGGGGACCTGGCCTGCAACCCAGACATGTGCCCTGACTGGGAATGGATCTGGCGACTTCCTGGTTCGCAGCCCGCGCTCAATCCACTGAGCCACACCAGCCAGGGCGCCATCTTACTTTTTTTGAGTGAGATGTTTTATTTATCTGTAAAAGGTTTTATTTATTTAGTTTTAGCTAGGGAAAGGGAGGGAGAAAGAGAGGGAGAGAAACGTCAGTGTGTGGTTGCCTCTCACACGCCCCCATGTGGGGACCTGGCCCCCCACTCAGGCCTGTGTCCCGACCTAGAATCCAACCGTCAACCCTTTCGGTTGTGGGCGGGCACTCAATCCACTGAGCTCCACAAGCCAGGGCGGATAAATTAATTTTCTTTTTAATTTATCGATTATAGAGAGAAAGAGGGAGGGAGAGGAAGAGAGAGGGGTGGATCTGTATTTCCACCTGTCCGCGCATTCCCTGGTTGGTCCTTGTATGTGTCAGGACCGAGGTGGCACCTCCGACCTTGGCTATGGGGACAACGCTCTAACCTACTGAGCTACCCCGCCAGTGTCTCTGTCTTAATTTTCTTGCCCCTCTTTTAGCCTAGAATGCTCTCCCCCCACAACCCCGCAGGGCTCCCACTGTCGTCTCCTTCCGATCTCTACTTCATCTGTGAAGTCGACCTGGCCTGGCCTATTTACCATCACTCCCCGCTGTCACCCCCTGGCCCCTTCGCCGCGTCCCCTTTATTTTTTTCCACAGTAGTTACCACTTAATACACTAAGTGTATTAAAGTTACCACTTTGTACACTAAGTAAATAGTATTTTATTTAATCCACTACGTTAAGTCCGGGAGGATAGGCATTTTGTCAGGTTTGCTTTCCTGCGGCGCCCCCAGCCCCCAGCGCGCAGTGGCCCTTAGGAACCACCGGTTGAGGGGCGAGCCGGGGCCCGAGCGCATCCGGGGAGCACGCGGGGTCGGTCCGGCGGGCGGCCGTCCAGCCGCACTTCCTGTGTGTGGCGGCCGTAGCGCTCGGCGGGGAGGAAGCAGGCGCCCCCTTGGCGGGGGCCTGTACCCGCGCCGCCGTCGCCTCCGCCGCACGCGGCCCGGGCGAGGCCCAGCCCGGCCAAGGTCATAAAGGAGGCGCCGAACAAAGGGTGACTATGAGCGAGACCGCGGTGGCCTGGGCAGTGGCCCTGAGGGTGGGATGGGTGCGGAGTGATCTCGGCAGACGCGTGGCGCGAGGCGTAGGGCCGTTTGGCGCCGTCGGGGCCGCAGGCAATGGTTTCTCCAGTGTTTGTCAGAAGGTAGAAATCGCGAAAATGGGATTCACCGTCTTTTTGTTCCCCAGGGCGTTGAGGAGTTTGGGATTCTGTGCTGATTTTTACTTTATTCCCGTCCCAGCAGTAGCCCTGCGGGCCGCCAGGCTGGTTAGGTCCCATTCTCTGCGTGGGGTTCTGTGTTAATGGGCAACTAAGTTTTACTTGTTTGTTTTTAGAGAAGCGAAGGGAGGGGGAGAAGACAGACTGATTGGTTGCCTTTCATAGGCTCCGGGACAGGGGACAGAACCCACAGGCCAGGCGTGTGCCCCGACCCAGAATCGAAACTCAACCTGTCGCTTTGTCCAGGAGGCCCCAACCAAGTGAGCACACCTGTCAGTGCCATAGGCAACCAAGTTTTAATTACACGGGTGAAACACGAATATGCATTACATGCAAGAAGATCAAAATATTTAGCCACCACCTGACGGTCCTGGGTCCTTGTCCACATTTGAACACGAACCACTATTGGTATAGGTCTTCCCAACATCTACGTATGTCCATATTCCTTCTTTCATTCTTTCTTAGTTATTTGCTTATTTAGATAGAATCGACATTTATTAATTTCAGGTGCACAACATAATCATTTGATGTTTGTGTGTACTATGAAGTGATACATACCCGTACATATTTATAATCTATGGGTATATAAACACAGATGTATATTGCATGCATAGTAAATGTTATTACATACATAGTAATAAACATGCATACTATGTACTATAGTATTACATGTATTACATGCATACCGATGTTATACACATATACATATTTTCTTTTAGAAAATGATAGTGTAGTGTGTTTTTAAACAAAAGTGGCATACCTTTTTGCAGCTTGAATTTTTTTTTTTAACTGATGTGTTGGTGATTTAACCATGTGAGTACATGCGGCCTAGTTCATTCTTCCCACCTGCGGCCCATATTCTTAAATTTGCATATACCATAGCTCGTGTGTCCAGTTTCCTTCTGATGGACATGTAGGTCGTTTCTAATTTTTTGCTGTTATAAACAGTGCTGCAGTGAACATCCTTGTGGATCTATTACTCTAGGGCAGGTATTATAACTATCTCTTACTTACGCTTTCGTTTGTTTAGTGCCTATTTTTCCTATTAAAATATAGGCTCCACAAGAGCAAAAATACAGTTTGTTTTGTACCTCATTCTTTAATTACTGCCTTGGCCAAGTGCCTGAGACAAAGGAGTTGTCAGTAAATACTTGTAGAATGAGTGCAAGGTTGGCTGGGGCCAGGACCTGGCTTTGCAAGCCTAGAGAGGGACTGATGACTTATTTTGGTGCAGTGGGTAACTTTGCACAGGGCTGTAGCAGACGTTTATTAGTGGCTTTAGGAAAGAGTGTTCTGGGCTAGGAAGCATATAGGTTCCGGAGGCTTGGTGATGGGATCTTTGTATAGATCAAAAGGAAGCAAACAAGGAACATGAGGGAAAGGAAGGGTGCATTTGTGAACAATTGGGTTGATAGGACCTGGAAGGTTCACTAATTGATTAGCTCTGAGGAGCAATGGAAAGTCCCGCATGGAGGGTGGAGACCTAGTCTAGGAGGACACTTTCATTTGGTAAACATTTATTGCCTCCCAGCTCTATGCAAAAGGCGAGAATTTGCACAGCCTTTCTCCCTTACCCTCAAAGGAGAGTTGCAGTCTTGTTGGGTACTGGATGAGTACACAGGTACACCAAGAATGCAGGGGACTGCTTGAGGCTGGAGGGGATTAGCCCTGGGGCCACCTAATGATCTGCTGTTCCAGGAATGGGGGAGGGGAGGGAGTTTAGACTGAGGCTGCTTGGCGGTGCCCTAGAGCCACACAGAGCAGACTGGCGAACCCTCAGGGTAGGGTGTCCAGAAGAGCCCATCGGTGTAGATGTTTAGAAGTTAAGGAAATTTAGGTTGGTGACAGAGCTGAGGTCTGACCTCAGGTTCACATGGCCTTGTTAGCTTTTTGACTCTAGGCAGGTTACTTCACCATCCTGAGCCTCAGTTTCCTCTTTTTTTAAAAAAAGGCGGTAACAGCATACCGGGTGAAGATTGGTGAGATTACAGTGAGTCCAGAGATAGGGGTTCTTCCATCAGTGTCACCTCAGGTTCGGTGGTCCTGCCCTGGACACAAGGACTGCTGTGTCCTGCTGGCCATGCCCTCTGTGCAGCCAGGACGAGGTCACGGAGGAGATAATCTGTTGAGGAAGAAACACTTGAGTGTAGTAGTTCTTTCAGTTTTATTTCCATTTCCTTTCAGTGGCCTCCTGGTGCTCTTGGGGGGAAATGCTAAGTGGCCGGCCAGCTCCCGCCAGCTGCACTCAGAAACCGTGTCTCTATCTGGAGAGACGTTGGGAGTTTTAGGCAGGGCCCTGGTCTGATCAGATTTGACTTTGGAAAAGATCAATGTGGCTTTTGAAGAGATCAGTGTGACAGATATGTGTTTTCTGCTGGAATGGTAGCTCATGTTCCTTCCTGCTGTATCCCTGGCCTGTGTGAAACTGCCAGGCGGTCACAGAGCAGGTATGCACTCTGTTGGTTGAATACATACTTTACCTCTCAGCCTTTAAAGCAAGACTAAAAATAGCCATTGGATTGTGTTAGGAGGAAGATGTAATGAGATAATGGGTATTATCTCAAGCCTGGCACATGTAACCATTTACTGGTTTTTAATCCAATATGAGCATCTACTATGCACTAGGCATGGTTCAGGTCCTGAAGGATACATACGGGAAGGGGGTGTGGGGGTGAGGCTTGGCTCGTGTCTGCACAGGAGGAAAGCTGTGTGTTGAACGATGTAGGGAGGAGGGGCGGGGGTAAGAGGAGCTGAGGTTGGAGACCCAGGCAGGGGAATGGGTTGTGAGGGAGGCCCTGTGTCTTGGGAATAAGGCCAAGGCCGTAGAGGCAGGTGCTGGATTTAGACTCTTAGCTCTACTGCTCACGACCAGTGGGCTTTGGGAGAGTCACTTAATCCCTCTGTGGCCAGGCTTGTCTATAAAAATGGAAAAAAACATAGGCCCTCACTCAGAGGGTCGCTGGGAGTTAGATTAAATGAGTTAGAGTACAAAGTTCACACTGAGAACATAATACATGCTAGTGCTTACTGGCTAGCCTTTTGGCACACTGGCCTGCTTTTGGCACAGAATTGTTTGGAAATACATCAGTTCTCCATCGCAAGGCAGAGAAATGTAGAAAGCGCACTCCAGGGTGTGGGTTTGGACAAATCCCTGCTGTTGATGGAGTTAGCAGTTCGATTCAGACCAAGAAATAAAGAAATAAGATTCCTAACCAACCAATTGTACAAAGACCTTACTAGGCCATTTTTGTCACCTGAAAGGGAGAGCCAGAAGGAAAAGGGGAAGAGTAAAGTCAAAGACGCTCCACATTCTTCCTAGTGACCTGTGGAACCCCTTGGGTTCCAGCGCCAGTGTCATCGGAATCGGGAGAGCTGAGCTGGGCTGCCAAATAGTACATTTAAGCTGAGCCCTGCACAGCCCTTTGCGGACTTGATACTTGGTACAGCTGACCAGCGATCAACACAGAAGTTAAGGGTGCTCCCTCACCCTTGTGCAGTCAGAAATCCAAGTATAAGTTTGGACTCCTCCCAGATTTAACTACTGATAGCTTATTGTTGTCTGGGAGCCTTAGCAATAACACATATTTTGTATATTGTACGTATTATATACTGTATTCTTACAATCAAGTAACTAGATAAGTGTTATTGAGCAAAGGAAAATAATTTCAAACATTGTCCCAATTGGAAACAAATGTGTAAGTGGACCTGCGCAATGCAAACACAGAGCCATCCTCAAAACCAGCCTGGTGTGCAACATGGCTGCCCCTGTGGTTCAGCACGGGGCGACCTGAGCACGGAAGGAGGCAGGCGAGTAGAGGTTATGGCCTCTTATTTATAGGTGAGGAAACTGATTTGGAGACCCAAATTTCAATTCCCTTCCTGCTGGAACTCACTCGGCCAAGTTCTGGGTGTCATTCATTCGTTTTGAACACATTGACGGATCTCCGACTCCGGCAGACATCAGGGGATCACGGCAGAGAACGAGACACAGTGTCACCTATTTTTATGGGGCTTAGAGGCTAACGGGAGGACAAGCAGCAACAAACAATGACTGTGGTGTAATGTGCAGTGAGTGTGACTGTGGTGCCGGGCCCCAGCTGCCTGCAGGGGTGCGTGATCCAGTGTCAGTGGCTGACCCGTCGCTCTGCCCGCTTGCCCTTCATCAGTGTTCAATTCCCATGGAGCCTCGTACAGTTCCATAGTGTCGAGCATCTGAGAGTGCTGGAGAGCTGTTGGGGAAGGTCTGAGAGCGAGGTCTCGGGTTCATGACCGGTAGTCTGAATGGGGATGAATGGGGATGGAGTAGGCAGTTGGAAATATGTTTTGGGAGTCGATGAGAAAGGTCTGTGTGAGAACTGTATCAATTTAGGAGCCTTAACAGGTCTTTCGAAGCATCGAATTGGATGAAATCACCTAGGGAATAAATAAGAAACAGAGAAGGTGCCAGCGCAGCATTGGACCCTGGGCGCTTGAAAGGCTGGAGGTCAGGGAGAGGAGAAAGGACCAGCCAGGGGGACTAGAGCAGCCCGTGAGGGCTGGGGGAGGCCTGCAGATTTCCAAATCAAGGGGAAAAGCATTTCAAGGAGGGGGAAGAGAGAGACTCTATAAGGTACCGCAGATGAAGCAAGTAAAGTGAGGGTGGAACTACTCAGACTTCTGCCCCGGCCGTGAGCTCAGTTGGTTAGAATGTGGTCCCTACAGTAACTAACGCAGAATAGCCATCCTGTGTGAGTGAATAAAGTCATACCTTTTTTCTGTCAGACTGGCAAAATATATGTATTTTTCAGTATGACACAGATTTTTTTTGGGGGGGGGGTGGAATCCGGGTACACACCTTGCAGAATTTTAGTAACTACTTTATGTGTGCCATGAGTTAAAAAGTTTGAAAATTGCTGCTCTGGAAAACAGAATAAGGCCAAAGGAGCAAGGACTTCATTCCTTTGGCTAACCTAAGCACCACCTAGGCACCCATTCCTAGGCACCACCTGTCTCTGGTGCCTAGAATAGCGCCAGACCCCCCCAAAATGAGCTTACATCTTTGCTGCAGTGTGTCTCATGTAATTCTCTAGCGTTTATACAAGTATTTATTATTTATGCCAGTAATAGAGTTATATATTTTTTCTGGTTTTATCGAGATACAACTGACATGGCACCATATCAGTTCAAGGTGTGGATGCCATGATTTAATGTATGTGTGTTGCCAAATAACTGCCACAGTATGTTTAGTTCACATCCATCATCTCGTAGTTAGACTTTCTCCTCTTGTGATGAGAACTTTTAAGTAGTTATTTTTTTTCTTCCATCACTTCCTGTTCCACCTCCTCTTCATCATTATCCCATTTTATGGATGAGGAAACGGAAATCCAGAGAGATTAGATAATCTAGAATTTGTCTTTGCAGAGGTGGAGGTGTGGAGTCTCTGAGCCCAGAGTGGTTGGAGAGGAGACATTCTGATGCCTTGAGAGGCTCCCTCTCAGGACCAACAGAAGCGGTTTCCTAAATGAATGGAAAGGGAGCCCGAGGCGGGAGGGATCCACAGGTCCAAAGGCTCTGGGTCAGGGAGGCTCAGACCCCTAACTGAAGGGATAGCTGGGACTGCAGGCTGGAGAGGTGTCCAGCAGGGGCTGGATCTGCTGGGCTGGTGGGCGAGCTCTGGAGTCCCTTCTCTTTTCTGGGGGCGGAGGGGAGCCTGGCTGGGCCGGGCCTGGCGGCTGGGACGTGGTCGGATTTATACTGTGAAAGATCTGGGCTGTGGGGTGGAGAATGTCCTGTGGCAAACCTAGAAAAGAAGCTTTGGCGAAATCTCACATTCAGGTATTTGGAGGATAGAGTGAGCTTGTGGTGCTGTGAAGCAGAGATGCTGTGGACGAAGTTGGAATATATTTAGAAATGACAGGGTTTGCTGATGGAGTCAAGGTGTGTGGAGAAGGAGCTGAAATATAGTTTGGCCTCTATGTTTTAGCCTGAGTAAGTGGGTGGATGGGAGAGGGCTCCATTTATTGAGATGAGGGTGAGAGTTGGGTTTCAAGAACTGCTACTTATCCCGGCTCCCCCTTGTCCCAAGGCTCCCCTTTGGGGTATCAGATGAGCCAAAACTTTAAAGAGGTGCTTCCCAAAGTTATGTGGCATTAAATTTTTAAAGAAAGTTTACATTTGCATGTCAAGTGAGGTCAACCTCGGAAAAAACATCTAGAATATTAGAGGGAGACAAAAGTTGTGTTTGCAGAGGGAGGGGGCACTGGTCCACTTTTCAACGGGAGGAACACAGTTGAAATAAGCAATGCCCTCCCCCCCCACCTTATCAAGTCAATCTAGTCAAATCCTGATGGAATCTAGACCTCTATTTAAATTGAGCCTTGTTCTTGGCCCCTCCCTTTTTGGTTTACTGGTAAAATCCCACAATCACTTCTCTTCCAGGTGGACTGGCAAACTCGGAGAGGAAAGGACAGGCTTCTGGTTCCAGACACCGCCTCCACTTCCAAAAGGTAATTCCGGCTGTTTATGCTTGTCATCTAGTGCTATGATGTTGTACAGAGGGTTTAATATTTTGAGATGACTTGAGTGAAATCAAGGGACCTCACAGGAAAGAGGGAAGTGTGGTGTTTGCTGTGGTTGGTGATCCTACTTAATTTAGTGCACTCAGTCGTGTTAAAAGGCTGCCCCGGTTTTCTTCTCAAATGTCCTTTGTAGTTTGCAGAAGCTGGCAGGTTTGGCTAACTTTCTCATTCTCTTTTCCTGCTAACTCTTCGTTGCAGTTTTTCAGGTTTTCCTGCTCTGAACACTAAATTCTTTTTAAGTCCAGTATCTGTGTTGGCTGCATTTCAGCTCCAGGGTTTTACACACAGTTTCCAAACTGTTTTTCTGTAATAGTTCCACAGTAAAATAAATACTTGCGAAATAAGAAGATCATACTGCATTCTGTACTTCTAATTGAGGCTAAGTCCCAAAAGATGATTCCAATAAGTGTTAAATATAGCAAATCAGAAAGGGTTCTGTTTTGTTTTGTTTTGTTATTAGAGCTGGAGAGAAATTTGAAAAAAAGGCTCATATCACCAGGATTAAAGCAGAGATAATGGGGCGATTTTTTAAAGCATATACTCAGAAATACCTTAAGGAGTGCGGTTCTGTTTAGGTAACTGTGAAAAATAAAGTGTAGCTGATGTTTGTGGCATTAAAAAAAGGGGAAGAGGGGCTTTTTTCTGCCGCTCGCCAGAGTAGTGTGTGCAGAACATCAGCTCACACTGGAAGGGACGTTGCTGGCTCCATTCTCTGTGGTGCCCGCTTCTCCGCAGCACCTGACTCCTTAGGAATTAGTCTAGCTGGGGGTGCTGGCAAAACAGGATTACTTGTGGGCGGAGCTAAGTATGTGTCGACGGACGTTCGATTTTCAATTTTCATTTCCTACAATACCAATGTGAATTCTTTGCGTTTATTACGAAACCACATGTTCCTAGTGTTCTGTTACTTTTGGAGTTTCCATTTTTAATTGTTTCAACTCTACATGCTTTCCAAATACACCTTAAGTATGAGTCTCCCCATTCGAAAGGGAGATTGTGGCTCACAGAAGCCCTCAACAGTGAATTCAGATCACTCCGTGTCCATTTAAAAACACAGTATGTGTTTGCAACCCGGCACTCAGTCACTGGCAGTCTTTTGCAACCATTTCCCAGTTTTTTGTTGGCACCCTTCCAGGAAAAGGTTCTTTGTAATTTCTTGCTCAAATGTAAGGATCACATATAAAATTCGTAGCAGATAGATCAGTTCAGACAGTCATCTTTTAATTTTGAAAGCTACAACATAACAAGGTTTTTCTTGGGGGGGGAGGAGAGAAACAGTAGCTGACAACCATATGATGTTATAATGCTAACAAAGTGGTAGCTTTTTGCAGGCATAGAGAAAAAAGCACAACACTTTTTGCTCTGAAAATAATTCAGTAACAACAGGGTCTGAGAGCCAAGAGCCCTATTGTTCTTAGTGAAACGATTATTTGTCAAAACATTTGATTGTTTCCCTATGCCTGCTGAAAAGTTTGGACTTTTCTTTTTTGCTCCATTTTAATAGTAAGATTTTAAATGACCAGTGCTATTCTGTTTACAGCATTCAGGGTTTCAGAGTTCAAAGGTTATCCATTAACATGTAGAGTGAGACGTTAAGACACAACCTGGTCCCCCTAGTTCATAGTTCCTTTGTTTGGAGCCGTGCTGGAAGTCGTTTGTTTTGATAAGTTCAGTGAAGCTTCTTGTTTAGGAAGAGTCTGTGTCTGGACTGTGTTTTAAGATGTGACTGTAAGGCTCTGAGAAGTATTTTAAAGAAAGGTATTCATCTTCCCTGAGAGAAGGAATTCTAGTCATAGAAGTAATCGGTATCAGTGTGCTTGAATGAAAAAAAAAAAAAAAAGAGTTCTGGCCTAAGAATCTACTTCTGGCGCTGCTAATTAATTAAGTGTGAGTAAGTAATTGGTTCACTTCCTTTTTAGAAAAGACTAACCAGACCATATGTGGGGCTAGTAGTTATATATAAAACGACAGCAAAACATCACACTTGGCAAATTCTTCCCCTTTGCTGAGAAGCTGCCTCTCAGATTCCATTTCCTATTTATTACGGGTTGCATTGCTCACCAGCCGAGCACTTCTGTCGTATTTATTATTTTTCATTTTGGTCCTGATTTATTAAGTATATACTTTAAGTGCCTTTCTCGATTTGTTTTACTTTTCCGTTTTGGATACACCAAAGGCCAAAAGAAAAAGAAACACCGGGCTGTTTTGTTTGATGTGACTTGCACTGGTCTGCTTTCGTTTGCATTCGTTTGCATTGGGGCAGAAACCTTGGTGGGCGTGATTGTGCTTCTGTGCTTCCTCTTGGGGCTTAAAATGGGGGAAACCAGTGTCCTCAGAATCATAAGCTTTCCTTTTTTTTTTTTTTTTTAGCAAGGGTAAGAACAGTAGGGGAACGCTTTAAGTGAGTTGGGCGTGGGGAGGTGGGGGAAAAGCTTTTTTTGGGGGGGTTCCCATTTTAATAAGCCCGGTTTCATCCACGTGGGTTTCTGTCAAAGCCAAGTGGATTCTTGGAACCCAGGCCAAGTTTAGAAATCTCAAATTATAATAGTGCACAAACCCAGTCCTTAAGAAAAAATAACAAAGGATAGCTTTATAAAGATACTAATTAAAAATATTTTAATCATCATGTCTCATCGACCTTACTCACACTTAAAGAAAATCTGAAAAAAATGTTTGTGCACAGCTGCTTTTTAACCTCTCCAAGTGAGTGTAAAGGCTTTTTGTTTGTTAGTAATTCTGGATGACCTAGGAGTTCGAGCTACCAGCCCCTCCCTTCGCCTGGGCACACCTTGCAAGGGAAGGGGAGGCAGCTATGCGGAGGCCTGGATATGCGCCTGCGCGCTGCCCTCCCCGCGTACCTGTCACTGGAACAGCCAGGCCACGTTAGGCCTGGGTTGTGGGGGCGGTGGAAGGCGCGCGCGTGCGCGGGAATCTCCCAGACGAGAACAGGGAGTGCGCGTGCTCGTTCGCTCGCCCCCCGCCTCGGAGGCGGAACCCTGGGTGGTGGGCGGGGCAGGGGCGCGCCTTCGAAGATCACGTGGGCGAGGGCGGGGCCTCGGGCGGATCGCAGTCGCTGAAGGCAGGAGGCGGGGCCTATTCGAACGGCGGGGCCGAGGGCGGGCGCAACAGCTGCTCCCTGAGCACTTTCTGACCCAACAGTCCCGGTGTGCCGGACGCGCCGCGCCCCGGTGGCTCTAGGGACCCCCCGCGCCTGCACTGTCCCCTCGTGGACGAGTAGGGGGCGCCCGAGCCTTTGCCCCCGTGCGCACCCCCACCCCGCTCACCTTAGCCCCGCGCCCGAGGTGAGCCCGGCCCCCAAATCCTCCCGGCGGGGGTGGGGGTGGGGGGGCACTCCATTTGGGGGAGGTCTGCGAGGCCCCGAGGCGCGGTGGGGGATGGCTTGCCTCTCGGTCCCCGTCTGTTTTGGAGGACCGGTGCCGGCGCGGAATCCGGGAGGTGTCCGCACAAAAGGCCGAGAGAAACTCCCCGTCGCCTCCCCTCCCTCTTGCCTTCCCCGCCCCCTCCCCTCCTCTCCTGCTCCCTCCTCATTCAAACCTCGGCTCGCTCGTGTGGTGTCAGTTCAGTCCCGGCCGCCGCCGAGCGAGGAAATGGCCGAGGAGCAGGAGCCGCAGGTAAAGGGGGCGCGCCCCCCGCTCGCGCCGGGCCCCAAGGGGGCGCCCCACTTAGCCCCTCCGGCGTCCCGCCGAGCTCGCCCTTGAGTCTGTGGTGCTCGTTATCTCTCCCCCTATTCGGATGATCGCCCCGCCCGACCCCCATCCTCGGTTCCTACTCCATTCTGCTCCTCTAGGGCGCCCCCTCCCCACTCGGCGAGAAGGTGTCGGGCGAACCCCCGGTGTGTACAGACAGTGTTTTACCATCACACTCACTCTTAGAAATAGTAGAGATGGCTTGGGGGCGGGGAAGTCCCCCCTCTCCGGGTTCGGAGCCAGGGGCCGGAGGGAGGTGGGGGCTGCCTGGTGTGTGGGGGCTTTCCTGAAAAGTTGGGTGGCTTCACCGGGCGGCTCTCCCGGTCTACCGACCCGCCTGTGGGGGTTGGCGGCCGGCGCGGGGTCCCCCGCGATAGTCCGGGAGGGGCCGGAGCAAGTTGGAAAAAGCCAAAACAATGCGTCCTAACAGGCGTCCCCCGCAAACAATGGCCGGGACCGTCCACACGGGCCGAGAGGAAGGCGCGTCTACAGGGGCCGGGGGAGGGGCCTGGCTGGGCCGTGGACCCCGACGCGCACCCCAGTGAGCCCACCACCACCCCCCGGCCGCCCCAAAAACCCTTGCCTGGGAGTCCGGGTCTTCTGCCCATCTCTGAGCAGGCGATGCACAGGGCTGCGTTTCCTGGATGTGCGATTAGGATTTTTATTCCTTTACTCTTTAATTTTTTACTGATTAAAAAGAACTTAAAAATAACCCTTAAGCTTTTAAAGAATAGCTTTATAACTCAATTCTAGTGGGAGACCCGAAGCCAGTTGGAAGCAGAACTAGGAACTCCGAAGGGCAGGAGGGATTGAAATGTTAGCCTAAAAGTGTTTAGTTTTTTTTTTTTTTTTAAAGGAAGTTTCTGCCAGCAGGCGCTGAGTGGCGAAACCGCGCAGTTTCAGATGTAGAGCCCTCTTCCCTCTTGATTTGGCCCCAAAATGAGTGCACGGGATGGTGGGGGGGGGGCGCTGCTGGGGGTGCGGAGGCAGGAGTTGGGGTGGCCTGGGCGATCCTCATCCGACGGGCGAGAGGTGGCCTGCGGGGTGCCCTGGCCGGTACCTGTGTGCCCCGGATCACAGCCATTCAGGTTCCGGGAGTGAGCCCACATTTTAGGGATCTGGGTAGGGCCACCGGGGACGGGAAGCCGCATTTTTTCTGGCGGATGGGGTGGGCAAGCGGGTTTTTCTGCAAGGTTTAGCTCTAGGAGCCACCAGTGGCCG